GCAGCAGCCCCGGAGCCTGGCAGGGGGGGTGCGGCACGGGTGTCCGGAGCCGCTGGGGCCGAAGCGATGGGGCAGGAGGGGCGCGCTGTGAGAGTTAAGCTATGAAATAAAGGGGGAGGGAGGCACCGGCGGCCGCGTTCCGTCCTTTGCTGCTGCTCGGGGAACGCCAGCGGGCTGCGTCCCTCCGGCAAAGGAGGGCAGGGCCGTCCCCCGCGCCTCCGGCTCGGGCCTGCGAGGCTCGGGCCAGGCTGCTCCGGGTGGCGGAGGCCGGCGTCTGCCCAGGCGCGCTCCCAAGCAAGGGCTGTTGGGGCTCTGGGAAACTGTACTGCCAAGAGCCGATGCCTCCCTGGTTTTTAGTCGCCCCTGGGAGCAGGAGCTTTGATGATCCCAGGGGCAGATGTCAGTCCCTGAATCCTGTTGTGGATCTAACTGCAGGTACCGCAGGACTCGGACCAAGGGACGCAGGGTCTCGCTCTGTTACTGAGCTGCTGCAGTTGGAAGGAAGGAGTCCGCAACCTTTGGTATGTAACGCGGTGGTGAAGAGGCCATTCGATCTGCGTCGTGACCTTCACACCTGTCACATGGCTAAAGGCTAATACAGCTCGTGTTTGGTTGTTAGACTGAGTATCAGAGTGGAGCTGATCGTTCTAGGCAGTTAGCGTATAATCATTTAAGGTTAGGCAACAGAGGACAATGTGTTTTAAAGCTAGGATAATGGCAGTAGTCAGTCTTGTCTTCGCAAAGCTCCATTTAAAAAGTATCTATAGAGACACTTAATTACTTTCAAAAGACATGGGACATCAAGTCTGTTCTCAGGGCTTTATTCCACATGGACTTGTTCCTGCTTAATTTACTGTGGATTAAACTAAACAATGGCTTTCTCTGAACGAGAACATCTATGTATAAATAAATCAGGAATAAGAAATAGCTGTGTGTAGAGACAAGCCCTTAGGCCACCTGTGTGACCCGACAGCACACCTCTATCTGACCTCCTTCTGCTGGCTGTCATCCTAACTTGTTCCTTGCTTTGATTTGAGACTTCAGCTGTGACTGGATCATCCTGGAGAGGCTGCCGTGCTCTCAAGGAACTCTGCTTAAGTCGAAGTGATCTGGAGAACCAGGGCCTTGGACGCTATATCTTCTGGAGGTGTGCACAACTTTGTTCCAAATAGCACGCCGGATATTTTATTCCACTAATGATACATTGTCATTCAAACTCCTGTTTTATCGGGAAGATGGTGAAAATTGTAAAACTACGTGAGTTAGACGAAACCCAACTTGCACTTTGTTGGCAGTTGAGTTTAAGCAAGAAGTAGATTATATACCTTCTACCTGCACTGTGATTTGAGAATTATTTCAACAAACAGCAACAAAGGAGTGAGAGCTCATGACAGACCCTGGAAAGAGCTCATCTAAGAGAATTTCAATTACTTACGTGCTTTCAAAAGGGCTAGGTCTAAATAAAATTCACGTTTCAGGTGCTCAGAGAGCTGGCTGCCCAGCCTCTGAGCTTTTAGTTGGTGAAGTGTAGGAAGGCTGGAAAAGGGCACCAGAAGAGCTTGTCTTCAAGAGGCAGAAAAAGAAGGTGGC